CCCCTGTCTCTCTAGCCGTCTCATTTCTCACTTCAGCTGCCGCAGCTCCTGGATATCCCAGGGCGCCCGCCTAGAACGAGTATGGAGAGGGCGCCTGGGAGCGATCTCGTTGATGGCTGTGGAGAGCCGACCATGCCAGTCCTCCATCAGCTCATCCAACAAGCCGCCAGGGGCCCTCTGATCCCGCAGGGCCATCTGGGGCCGCATAGGGTCCATCCGGCTTCACAGACGAGCAAAAATCTGCTCGCCGCCTAAGGGCGGACCATCGCTTCCTTGAGTGCTCCGTGGAACCGTCCCTCCGAGAGGGACTTCTTAATAATCTCCCTGAGGGCACCTCAAAACCCTTTGTGGCCCACTTTAATGAGCCAGGAGAGGCATGGATCAAGATCGCACGTGGTTGGACGTACTGATACGAGCAATCTGTCAACTTCCTCCGGGCTGAGTAGGCTAAAACACTCTAAACCCGGAACCGAAGACGTGCAAGGGGCCTCAAGTTCGCTCACTGTTTCAATTGTGGTGGGGAGGTCACAGCAGAGCGTCAAGACTTTATCTGCGAAATAGCTTGCAAATGCCTCACAGCCAATATCCAATTCCCTAACATTTTACCTGCCCTGTGGCAGAGCTGTCAAAGACCGAATCATACTAAACAATTGGGCCGAGCGTGAGCTCGCAGATGCAATCTTGGTCGCATAGAAATCTCTCTTAGGATCTCATAAACGTCCTATAAGATGCTCTTGATGCCTCATCGCGAGCCCAGCGCCACTGTCTCTCTAGCCGTCTCATCCCACACCCAGGTCTCGATCACGCTTCCTTCTTGAACAGGGATTTGTGCCCAGGCCTATGTGTTCCATGTTCAAGACTATATGCACTGCACCAGTGTGACTCCCCAGCAAATGTGTAGAATGTACACTAATAATAATTTAAGGTTTTATCCTTTTTATTTGCATGTGAGAGGAGATTAATTATAGGTCCTGTGAGGAAAGGGGCCCATCTTTCTTGTTTTAATGTCAAATGGAAGATGGGCACTGTAGCCATAACTACCTTCTGTTTCTCTGTCTAGTTGCTGATCTTATTTGAAGAAACAAGATGGACTGAAGGCCAGCAGAGAAGCTCCTCCTATTAATGATGTATTAGTCTGCAGTGCTGGAGGACTGCTTCTGACTCTGCTTTTCACCAGTAGTCATCTTAAGAACTTAAGCTCAAATAGACGCACGTCTGCTTCTGTGCCGAGGGAACAATGTGGGCATGTACTGCTGAATAATGTACAGGTCCAGCACCGAGAAGTCCATGTCAGTGAAAAGTAACATTGGAACCAGCCAGCACCCTTGGTGGTTTTTTTATTTTGATTTTTTTAGACTGTCGTTTTGGAGTCTGGTAAATGTCGCAAGTTGCCCCTGATGTTTTGGATAGAACCTGCAAGTAGCATCTTTGTATATAAGATACTGTCATCTTACCTGCTACATTATTTTTTCCTGATTAAACAGTGTTTTCATATATATATGGTCACTAATTACATGGCAATTTTGACAATAAGGGCTTTTAGAACTGTGGTACAGGACTCCTTTCTTAGCACCTAGATAAGTAAATTACTTTTCTCCCTTTTCCCAAATTTGCTAACTGAATAGGAATTGATATTTTTGGAATCAGTTGATGCATTCAGCTTCATAATGTGAGTCAAAAGTGGACCTGAGTCTAACATGTAACTCTTGGGGAAACAACCTAGATTGGACAGAGGGCATAACTTCCTCTCTTTGACAACTCCCCTTCCTCTTTCTTCGAGGAAGTAACAGTAGACTCTGAATCCACCTCCCTGTTCCCTAGGAGAGGACTATGAGCTCTAGAGGGAGACTTAACTCGTTTCCTTTGCCTGTGTCTAGGAGGGGATCTAGAACTGCTGGAGGATACATCTTCCCTGCTAGTTCTGGACCTCTTAGTTGCTTTGCCCCTTCCTAAGGAGGATCCAGCAGGGTCAGAGCCCTGGAACGCATCCTGCAACATCTCCTTGAACTCCTTTCTCATCTCACTCCTGAACCAGCTCATGAGTTCAGCCTTCTCATTTTCCCTAGGATCCACTTCATGTGTCTCCATTGCTTCCTGCGTGGCTAGGGAGGCAGAAAGTCTGAGAAAACTCAGGTCAGTAAGGGAGCTGTTTCTGTCTTGTGAGCCTTCTCTTTCAGTTTGGTCAGCCATTTCACTAGGCCTGCAAGGGGAAGTGAAACAGAAAGCCCAATGAGGGAATCTAAAATGGCCGCCGCCATTTTTCCCACCTAAAACCTTCCATAGGAAGAGGGCACAGTAAACCTTGTCCCATTGTGGAACACAGTTGTCCCTGATCTCCCAGGAAAAAACGCCTCTCCAGTACCGACTAGTTCCAAATGCTCTCCAGGAGATCTCAAGGAGGCAGCAATAAAGGGTCAGATACAACAGGAAAAGGGACTTCCGCCACTGCCTCTACCGGCTTCGGGAAGACTGGAGTTGCCAAATCCCCCCACCGCTCTCCCCTCTCACCCCAAGTCCACCCCAAACGGAAAGGGACTGTAAAGGGCCCGAGGGCACTCACCGCCGTATCAACTGGCTGGGAGTTTTCTGTCCTGCCTTTGATCGGTCTCCGGGGTCCGTCACAGTCAGGGAGCCGACCAGAACGACAGGGTCTCTCTCGCCACTAGATCGCAGGCTCAACCGCACCCCAGCAAGCACCAAGGGGTAGGCCCTCCACCCCAGGAGTGGGTAAGGCCGGCAGAGGGCTGCTGGAATGCTGCGGCAGTCGGGGACCTCCCAGTGCCGAATTGCCCTCTTTCTTTCTTTGCCACCGAATTTAACACCTCCAGGTGCCGCGGCTCAAATTCCTTCTTTGGTTGCTGCGCTGAAGAGCACTGCTGGAGCATGTCCTGCTCTGAAGCAGGCCCGGCAAGAACTGGAATGTCTCCAGGGGATAAGCCCCTCCCCACATGGATCAAAGCTTGAAGCTGACCCTGCAATTGGAGGAGGAGCGTATTCCAACTGTATGGACTGTCCCATGATCTGAACCACTGGAGAAAGAATGGTCAGTCGAGGATTCTGATACTTGAATACTTCATTTAGGTGGTTCCAAATCGAGCATTTTCAGAGACTCTTGAAGAAAGTCATCTCTACTCTGAATTACCAGATGGACAGCCCAGAAAAACTCAGATCATCTGCATCAGCCCAAGTTTGATATGGGGGTGGGGGTGTTTAAGAGACTGTCAAAGAGGCCATTGGTCTGCCCCTTCCTGGAGTTCTTTGACGAAGTCTTGAGGATGGAATCAGCTGTCCCCAGATATGGTTCTTTGTTAACAATAGTTGCTAAAAAATGCCATGCCAGAGGCAAATATAGAGGCGTTAAAGGTCCCCGTAGGGGATGCTCCAGTATTTATTTATTAAATTTCTACGGAACTGCTGGAGGTCCCGTAGAGCTCTAATCTCATGAGGGAGCTCGTTCTACAGCGTTGGTGCCACCAGGGAGAACGCCCTGGTCCTAGTTACACCTAACCTGGCCAGATGGTTTTGCGTTCCCGATCGCAGTGCTCTTGGGGGAACATATGGGGAAAGGCAGTCCCTCAGGTAGACACAGGGAGCCGACCAGAACGACAGGGTCTCTCTCGCCACTAGATCGCAGGCTCAACCGCACCCCAGCAAGCACCAAGGGGTAGGCCCTCCACCCCAGGAGTGGGTAAGGCCGGCAGGAGGCTGCAGAGGGCTGCTGGAACGCTGCGGCAGTCGGGGACCTCCCAGTGCCGAATTGCCCTCTTTCTTTCTTTGCCACTGAATTTAACACCTCCAGGTGCCGTGGCTCAAATTCCTTCTTTCTTCTTTGGTTGCTGCGCTGAAGAGCACTGCTGGAGCATGTCCTGCTCTGAAGCAGGCCCGGCAAGAACTGGAATGTCTCCAGGGGATAAGCCCCTCCCCACATGGATCAAAGCTTGAAGCTGACCCTGCAATTGGAGGAGGAGCGTATTCCAACTGTATGGACTGTCCCATGATCTGAACCACTGGAGAAAGAATGGTCAGTCGAGGATTCTGATACTCGAATACTTCATTTAGGTGGTTCCAAATCGAGCATTTTCAGAGACTCTTGAAGAAAGTCATCTCTACTCTGAATTACCAGATGGACAGCCCAGAAAAACTCAGATCATCTGCATCAGCCCAAGTTTGATATGGGGGTGGGGGTGTTTAAGAGACTGTCAAAGAGGCCATTGGTCTGCCCCTTCCTGGAGTTCTTTGACGAAGTCTTGAGGATGGAATCAGCTGTCCCCAGATATGGTTCTTTGTTAACAATAGTTGCTAAAAAATGCCATGCCAGAGGCAAATATAGAGGCGTTAAAGGTCCCCGTAGGGGATGCTCCAGTATTTATTTATTAAATTTCTACGGAACTGCTGGAGGTCCCGTAGAGCTCTAATCTCATGAGGGAGCTCGTTCTACAGCGTTGGTGCCACCAGGGAGAACGCCCTGGTCCTAGTTACACCTAACCTGGCCAGATGGTTTTGCGTTCCCGATCGCAGTGCTCTTGGGGGAACATATGGGGAAAGGCAGTCCCTCAGGTAGACAGGCCCCAGACCATTTAGGTAGTTGCTCTCCATTTGGGTGCTGTCCTTTCCAAAGGCAGAAACGATGCCCTGAAAGACTCGGTGGACAGTGTTCAAGAGTTTGCATGAGGCATCCTCCCTCACAATCGGCGTCAGCAGTCCTGTCAAATATGTTGTCGAAGGCTTTCGCAGCCAGAGTTCATTAGTTGCTGTAGATTTTCCGGGTTGTGTGGCTGTGGTCTTGGCATTGTAGAACCGGACGTTTCGTCAGTAACTGTGACTGGCATCCTCAGAGGTATAACACAGAAAAATGGAGTACTCTCTGTGTCAAGGTTGACAGAGAGTATTCCCATTTTTCTGTGTTGTACCTCTGAGGATGCCAGTCACAGTTACTGGCGAAACGTCAGGTTCTACAATGCCAAGACCATGGCCACAGAACCCGGAAAATCTTCAGCAGAGTCCCGTCAAACTCTACCAGAGCCATAATTATCTGGGCTGACAACCTGCTTCTGGACATGGAATCTGATCTCTTGACGTTTAGGAGATCGCATCTAAAGATTAAGAAGACAACAGTATTCACTGTGGATGCATCTCAAGATGCTATGTAGTTCTGTGCAAGGATGCAGGCAGCGAATATTATCAGAAGAAATTTCTGGCTAAAACACTGGAAGGTGGAACCCTTATTAAAATCCAATCTATCCACAGAGAAATTTTCTGGTAGGCTGCTCTTTGGGGAGGGAGACTTAGACAAGGTCCTAGTAGAAACTAAAGAAAGCTATGTCATCTACCATTGTCTCAAGGGGGAAAGACAACACAGGGAGGTCCTATGGTTCCTTTTGTGGATACAGGTCCCACGCCAGGGAATGGAAAGGCAAGGATTTCGGGAGCAACTGTGCCTTTACTTACTGGCCAAGGTTCCACAACAGACAATTCCCACCCAACAAGCAGGACAGAGCCAGTCCAGCAAAAAGAACCACCACCTGACTCTGCAATGGGGGTCACCTCCGGAGTTTTACCCACATCTGGAGGCAGACCATGATGAACCACTGGGTGCTTTCCATCATCCAGCATGGCTACAAAATAGAGTTTGCATCCCCACCACACCAGTTCATCCCATCCCCAGGTCCTGGATTGAAGCAAAAATGCCAGCCATTACAGGAAGTGGTAGAGCATCTTCTAGCCATTGAAACGGACAAACTGGTGCCCACCTCTCAGAGTTTCCAGAGGGTCTACTTGGTGCTCTTCGTGGTGCCCAAGGAGTTGGGAGATTAGAGGGCAATTCTCAACTTAAAGGAACTGAACTGGTAGGTCAGAAAGTTGAAATTCCGCATGGAGTCACTGCACTTGATTATCCAAATCATACCGCAGGATAGTTACTTGGTGCCTCTGGACCTCAATGAGGCAGTTCCTATGTTTTTCCCTGGGGGACAGACATTACCAATACACAGCTTTACCCTTTGGCCTGTCAATTTCACCAATGGTCTTCACCAAGGTGCTGGTGGCCCACCTAAGAAAACAGGAGATTCACTGTTGGGTGAAAACAGAGAAACTTTGACAGAGGACAGAGAGAAAGCAGAAAGGCTTAATGCCTATTTTGCCTCAGTTTTTTCACTGAAGAAGAGAAAGGGTTCACCTAGAGGTGGTAGTAGGCAAAGTACAGCGTCCAGGCTGCTGGTTGACATGAACAGAGAGGTAGTTGAGAAGCAACTGGCTGCACTGAATGAGTACAAATCCACCGGGCCAGATGGTATGCACCCAAGAGTGCTCAAAGAACTTTCTAGAGAGCTTGCAGAGCCTTAGTCCATCATCTTCCAGACCTCTTGGAGGACAGGAGGTGCACCAGAAGAGTGGAGGAGAGCAGATGTTATCCCAATTTTCAAAAAAGGGAGGAGGGATGATCCAGGAAACTAC